CCCCCCCCCCACACACACCAGGATACAGGTGAACAGGAAATGATTGATAACGTTTCAGTACTTTGAGTAGGAGTAGAGAAGGACTTAGGGCACACTTCCCAAGTCAGGAAGACACACAGCAAAGCATCTTGATGTTCTGTGGAGACACTCATGTCTTACGTTACAGGTCGGGGCTACTGCTCTTCTGTTCATTCTTGTGGAGGGAGGGAGGGAGGGAGGAAGGAAGGAAGGAAGGAAGGAAGGAAGGAAGGAAGGAAGGAAGGAAGGAAGATGTATGCCAGCAAGTGGAGTCCTGGGGCTCGGGGGATGAACCCTACCCAGCCCAGGAGCCCAGCCGCCCCTCCTGCACCTTCCTCCAGTCAAGCTTCTCTTCCAAGCAGCTAGGTGGCCTTTGCTCTGAGCCACGGCCCTGCCTCTGAAGGCAGCCTGATCCCTACAGTGTCCCCCACCCCGCAACTCCTCAATCGAATATGACCTCCGACCTGAAGCACCAGTCCTGTGATGACCCACAGGACTCCCCACAAATCCAGCCTCTCCCCAGCACCCTGCAGGGCCAAGCCTCCCTCTCACCATTCTCTCCTCGACCTACGCTGCAAGGTCAGCAGAAACTCCTTGATGACCCAAGAGTGACTACGTGCCTTCCCACTGCCCACGGCCTGACACCTTGACCCTGGGCACAGGAAACACGTGTGCTCAGGGTCCTCAACGACTCTCACAGGCCCTGCTTTCTGCCAGAGACGTCCAAGTATCCTGGCGCTGGCGCCCCGGATTCTAAGGACGGAGAGAAAGTCTGTAAACATCACTGACTTCTGTCATCCCCATCCATTGTATCAAGGGGCTTATCTCCTATCTACTATGGATCAGAACCTGCGGGTGCAGTGGTTCCACGCTTGGCAGTTCTACCCTGTCCTATAGGGCCACCATGAGTCGGCATCACCTCCATAGCAGTGAGTTTGGAGTTTTTCACTCCTCTGTGGAGCTCCTGGATGGCAGGAATGGTTACGCACTTGACTACTGGGCTATAGGTTCATAGTTCAAACCCACCTCGGGGCACTTCAGAAGACAAGCCTGGTAACCTACTTGCAAAAGGGCATATACCAGAAAAACCCTACACGGGCAGCTCTGTTCTGCAGACATGAGGTCACCATGAGTCAGAACTGACTCAGTGACAGCTAACAATATATGCTAGTCAACTAGCTGTGACACACACACACACACACACACACAGAGTTTCTGGGATTCCCCTCGAATCTGCCCGACCTGCCATAGGAACGAGGGGTAACTGAGGCTGTGTGGATGACAGGACGGCCAAACATGAGCCCCGGAAAGAGAGAGGATCCAGAGTCCAGCTTGCCCGAGGGCCGATTTCGGCGTGTCTGTGTGTGGGCAGCAGCGCAGGGGTGGGAGGGCACCACTCGACAAAGCTCAGAGGCAGGTCCAGAGCACGCTGTTCCAACACACCAGGTCCAGCTGCCACCAGCAGAACCCAAGTCAGAGCTGCAAAGACTTCCCACCTTCGGGACTGGTTCTGGCCCTGAGTACTCTTATCCATTTCTCCCAAATCCATATCATGGAAATCGCTGTGCGTTGCCTCCCAAGAAGAGAGCCACCAGGGAGACGGGGTGGGGGTGGGGGCGCTGGGCCCGTCACTGCTGTGGCCGGCATATCATCCTGTCGACACTAACTTCCTTCCTCGCCAGCGCACTGTCGGCTGCTGCAGTCTCCACTTCCCCACCAGGTGAACGGGCACGGAAACAGCCCACTGTGGGCTGCACAGCCAGAGCACTGCCAACCACGCGAGCTGCCCTGACGAGGCACGGCAGGGGCCTGGCCCAACCCTGTCCTCAGGGACGATGAGCCCTGGAGTACAGAAGGAGGTGAAGGAAGCTGAAATCAACTCTGACCGCAGGCCGACATCCTGTCTAGAGTTCTGCTGTGGCACTTTCTGGACCATGACTGCCGTCTTCTCTGCCTCCTCTTGGGCTGACGTGTGGGGGCTGCGGGGAAGCCCCCCAGGCCTCTAGCCTTCTCATTGTGGACGGGCCAAGGTCTGCCAAGTGAGAGCTGCCGGGGAGACAGGGCAGAGCCCGGGCAGGCCCATCCTCCCTCTGCCCAAGACAAGGGTGTCAGGGCTCTGCCTCCACCTGGTAATGTCCTGAGGAAGCCACTCTGCCCTTGGGAAGAGCAACTTCCTGAGTTCCAGGGACAGCCAAGGAGGAAACCTGGTGAGGTTCCGTCTCCGCCAATGATTTATTCTTCTGGACGTTTTTCTCCGCTGGTTCTAGACTGGCTCTCAGAAGGCAGAAACTCAGCTTTGTCCCTACTAACTTGTTGAGAACGAGTGGTTGGGTCTATAGTTTCGGATTTCCGGGTTTGAACACTAACTTAGGTTCCACTGAAGGCATTGGCACATTAGCTTGGATTGAAAAGGAGGGGACACTGAATGGGGAGGCCAGAAGGCCGAAGGCCAACGTAGGCTGTTAAAGAGTTTTGAGCCTCAGTGGGTTCATCTCATTACTCCTCAGTGTTTGGTGGGGACTATGTGACGGCTGTATGTATTGAGACCACAGTTCCCTTTTCCTTCCTCCTGAAAAGCCCAGTGTAAGGTTCTGACCTCCCAGGAGCCTGCCCTCTGGCTTTGGGGTTTGTCTCTGTCCCGGGTGCTGCCCCTGCTTCTCCTCTCTGGTGGACGCAGCAATTGAACTTCACTGGTTCTCCTGGTCTCCCCTCTATGCCTGGGAGGCAGCTCTACCACCACCCTCCGGTGGGGCGGCCTGTAAGGGACAGTCAGGGAAGCAGGCCGTAGCAGACGGTCACAATGGGAGCTGGGAGGGGACTCAGACTGAAAGTAATTCTGGGACTCGTTCCTAAATCTGAGGGAGAGGTTAATATGAAAAACTTCTAACAGGAAGAAGCGGGGAGGGGCGGGTGGGATGCCTCTTCAGCAAGGCTGCCCTGGCTTTCTGCCAGGGTGAGGCCGACACTTCTCCCTGCTCCTAGGCCAATCGCCTCCTGCGTTCTGTGAGTAAGGACCTTTCCCCTCCAGGAAGGTCCCCCATTGCCCCTGCTCCCTGGCCTCGCCAGCTCAGTGAAGCCAAGGGGGGACGGGGCACAGGGACAGGGAAGCAGGCATGTCCACAGAGGTTCCCTTCCCTTTCCTGCTCTGTACCCCAGGCCAGTTGGCCCCTCCCCATTTCCTTCCACTGCAGGGGGGTGGGG